TTGAAACGGGTCTTCGTCACAGGTTTGACACCCGAAATTGGAAATTATTGTATATTATGAACTTTCAATGAAAATAATTTTCATTGTATTATTTGTTATTTTATATATTTGTTAATTAACTTTTTTTTTTCTCATTTTAAGCGAATTCCGAGTTGATAACAAATTATGGAGTGATGTTTATGGCACAGGCATTTTGTCAAAAGCCAGCAGTCACTGTAAAAGTAAAAACTCTTGTCAAGGTTAGTTTCATAYGMWGAAAATTGAAGAAGYGTTTCWATATTCGTGTGTGAATCGTGTAAATCTACGGTTAACGATCTTAGATCTCGCTTTTGAAAAATAATCMGTGTTTGTTTRTTCTTTTATGATGTTTTTGCTTATTATTTTTTCATTTATTTATTGATGTGTTTCTATTGTTTGTTTGTTTGAAGAGCCAGACAGATATAAAGTTGAATCTTTTCTATAAACTGATTGCTAACTGCAATCAAACTATAAAGGTAAAAAAGTACTGTTTGCTGCATATGTTCGTTAGATATTACGTTTCTTATGATTTTTCGTCTGCAGTTGAACTGGCTTTGAAATTTGCTTCTAAAAGTCCCTTTCTRAATTGAGTAAAACAGAAAATTAAACATTTTAATGCAAGGTCATGAATTGTACTTGCGATTTGAAGATTCTTTTAGTTTCTAGGGCACACAAGGAAAAGAATTAATAGTTTTTAATACCTTTTTTTTACTTTCAGGTGTACTCAGTCGCGCACTGCATTGCGAGTAATCCAAAGACAATTGTTTATAAATACCCAGGTACCAATGTTTGAATTACGGTTTGAAATCACTGTTTTGGTCCCGCTTAGGGTGATAATAACGAGAATTCCCATCAACTGAGTTTTGTGGTCCCTTTTAGGGTATACCACGATCCTAAGCCGTCATTATAATTAGATGATTGATCTTAATACGASGCGACGGCGTTTGATGYTTGTGCAAAAACACAAATAAAACCGGGAAACCAAAACAAAATGACCTGTTATTGATGGTYCCTCTAGGGGTGAAATTTCAGCGCTACCAYGCCCATCATCTCACAATAGAGGTCCATTTTAGGGGTCATTTTCAGAATTTCCGATGAGGACCCCGCCCTTTATTATTAGGGAGTCCCCCCAGCTAACCAATGTTTCCTGTTGCTTTACAGGGTGCTACAACATTCCTACTTTTGACAGAACAAAGTGTTACTCATGTAAGGGAATATATTAAAGGCCTACTTACATCAAAGAGCATTTGCGCGATTTTCTCCCATAGGAAAATTCGCCATCTTTGATTTTGAACCAATACATGCATCAGGAGTTTCGGAGAACAATGCGTCCGCCATCTTGAAAAGTGAGACTCAAATCACTAAATTATAACTCCTAAAGAAATTGAAACGTTCTAAGTTAATGTAAATTTAATATAATATACGTTATGATGATAGATTAGTTGACTAAGCAACTATGAAATGTGTTCTAAGGCAAAACAGTGATTCAGGGCCCACTTTTCAAGATGGCGGACACATTGTTCTCTGAAACTCCTGGTGCATGTATGCAAAAGCACCTTTTCACAATTAGAGATCATTTGTCAAACAAAAGAAACCATATCAAACAATTGCTTCGGAGAAAAATTCATTCGTTTGCCAAACTTTTGCTTACCATATATCATGGTAATCTTACCTTATAAGGAAGTACGTTAGAAAGTTTTTTTCACTTTTTTTTCATTTTTTAGTGCTTTAAAATGGCTAAAACTTACAGAAATTGCAGAGAAATTGCTTTTCAACATGTTGGTCATTATAAATTTGTCCTAGTCCCTTCCCCTCTTGAAAATAAGGGATCCCACAAAAGACACAGGTAGCCCGCGCGAATGYTAGRCAATTGTTTGATATGTTTCGCAATGRTTCCTGGATGTACATGGGAAGTTTAAAGAGCAAAAGACCGGATTTGCCAAGATWAAGGCTTTCACAAAAACTACAGTCTGATTGTCTTCGTGTCTTCCTAGCCTCGGTCTATTCATGATAGTCCAACCAGGTTGAAAATTGATTGACATTTTTGTAAGCTAAATTTTACTTGACATTAACTTCTTTCATCTCTACAGTTGACCCTCCAAAAACTTCTAAAAGTTCCAAAGAAGTTCGTAACTTGACCCATTCTCAGATCCGAACTGATGCTGATTTCCGGTTCCGGTTGAATATCACGTGGGTTCGTCCATCGTATCCATATTACAACGTGACCACTTATCAAGTTTCTCATGGCGATGCCAATAGGAAAATGGCATTGGTTAGTTGGTGGTGGCCTGAATACAACAACGACCATTTTGTAAGCTAAAAAGTGAAGTGTCCTTATCATTTATGTTTAGTAGTTGTTAGTAGTACTGTAGTACGACTCAGCTCGAAAAGCCTTATTACTGCCCAGGTCGTAGCCTGCGTAGCGGCTCTTAGGGACTGGAGCCACATTCTTAGAATAATGCACGCGCCGATATACGTTGGCCGTGTCATAAATTGTGCTGTTTGGTCTTGTACATTATTTTGTTACCGTGATTGGGCRGTATTTGTATGACATTCAATTAAAAAACAACAACAACAACAACAAAAAACAAACAAACAAACAAAAAACAGCACACAATCAATTGTTTTTGTTCTTCCACAGAGAGGAACAAGTTTGGAAATGGAAAATCTTCTTCCCAACAYCAAGTACAAATATATGGTAAAGCATCGCTATATTTTGATATTGTTTGATCAAGTTCAATAGAAGTTTATCAGTGAAGCATGCCTTCGGTCTTTGGTTCGCACCGTGACTCGAAATCCGCTTGTTCTTGCCGATTTTGGCCATTCCAAATCTCTGGATTCTATGATACATCTTATCTAGGATTTCGGATTCCAACGTTTTATCGGAATCGGATTCCATTGATTCGAATTCCAGATTCCAAGTGCCTGGATTCCAGATTCCTCAGCTTAAGTTTTCCATGGCTCCGTGTGTTGGTGCGAATCTGGATCATTGGTGCATTCACTGTTAGCTAGCAGGATTCGTTGTCTGTCTGTGTCAATATTGAATTGTTTTTTTATAGGTTAAGGCCATTATTCCTTCTGTTGCGGATATTGAGGTTTTTGGCTCAGTGGATATGCCAAGTAAGTACTTCATTGTCATGCTTGTTTGATTTTTTCTGGTCCTAATSTTGTTAGCTTGATTGTCTTGG